GTGAGATGGAACTGATGGCAGGAGTGCATGAATTATTGATTGAAATCTTCACCAGAAGGTAAAGTCTTTGCATTTTCTTATCTGGAAAGGGAGAGGATGAATGAGAAGTGAACAGAATTGTTAAGCAGCTTTGTCATTGCATTGGAGTGCATAATTAGGCAATTAGGATTACTGAAAGTTGGCAAAGCATGAAGCCTGGAGGACTTGTGTTCCTGCTTTCAGAGGAGGGTGGTGAGGGAAGCAGGGAAAAACCTTTGGCGAGAGATTTGATGGTACTTTATGGTGAGACTTAAAGGCAGAGTCTGGCTCTGGCACCCAGTACCCTGCAGCTTCCAGAACAAAAGTGAGTTCAAGAGACCTGGCTAATAAAAAAGCACTTATTTGAAGATGGGCAGTCCTCAGAACAGCAACAAGAACTGAGCTCATGAGTGAAGGCCACCGATAAGGGTCCAGGGAAGGGGAGCACAGGGAGTTGGACTCAGTGATCCTTCTGGGCCCCTTCCAACTTCAGATATTCTGTGTTCTCTGATTCTAATAATGGTTCACGTGGACCCCCTTTTTTCCTGTGGTAGGGATGCACGGTAGCCATGGCAGTTGCTGTGTAGTAAATATTTTGTGTGCTTTTTCCAGATCTTTGCCCTCAGTTAACATCCCCTCTCCTTTCAGGTGAGTTGTTTGTAGTGAGACTTTGCAGGGCCGTGGGCTGAGGGTGCTGCGAGATCCCTGAGCAGAGCACCAAGAGGTCAGACTCTTCCCTAGGAGCAAAGTGTCAGACTGTGTTTAGACTTGGAGTGAATGCAGTCTGTCCTGCTACCTAAATTTCATTTTATTTGGTCAGAAGTGACAAATACTGGATTTTCCCTGACATAAATCATTCAAATGCATCATTATCAGAGGATCATTCCAGCTGAACTTGGAGGCAGATTCCAAACCTCTTTTGCTTCAATTCTCCCTTGTAAATTATATCTGATCAGCCGCTTTGTAAAGAACAGCTCCACAAAAACCAAATTAACAGCTTGAGTAAACTGGCTGAATCTATTCTTGTAGGGGATGCAAAGCTGTAGGACACAGTGGAAAGGAGAGGGATGGGAGCACAAAATCCGTCTCCCGTGAGAGTTAGTTTGGATTTATATCACTGAAATGTTCAGTGGTGAAAGGAGATATTGGGCCATCCAGTGCTGTATACCACAGACCCTCAAATGTCACCTATTGCCCCTCTCCTGAGCCTTCAGCCTGCATCTGTCAAAACCTGAACTTTCAGAAGGGTTTTGCTCATGGGGCTTTTTGACTGTCCTCCAGGAAAGGGCCAGGCAGACACCTCAGGCTGCTACTTATCTCTGCAAATTAGCCTAATTTCTTTAGTTGGCACCATGGCTTCTTAATAGCTGGCTGCAAATTTTTAAGGGGAAAGCTGGGTAAAAATGACAAAAAATAGCATGTTGCATCTGTAACAGTCTGAATTCATCCTGGGCTGCTCTGATGCCAGTGCCAGACAACTGTGCTCCTCCTCCATGTTCCTGACCTGCTTAACCTTAAGCTATATGTTATTTAAAATTAATTTGCAGAGATGCAGACATTATATAAATCATTGAGGAAATGTCAGATTATGTATGTAATTTTCAGAAGTGCTCCACACTCATCTGACTTAGCTCCCCATGAAACCAAGGGATCAGAATTAAGCTGAAGGAGAGAGTTTGGACTAGTCACCATCCTTAAAATGCCATGAAAGATGAGCCAGCATTGCAAACACTTGTTAGTAATTTCACACCCAGAGGTTGTTGTGATTTGTTTAGGACATTCAGCGATCGGGGAAGGAAAAAAAAAAGGTGATGATGAAAAATACGTGGACTAGAGTATTTGTTACTCATCATTTGCTTGGCCTCTTTGGCAAGTCACCTAGTGTCCTCAGAGAGCGTTGCATTTGTATGGGAAGGTGCCATTCATAATGTTCTTCTGCCAAGGCTGAGTTCAGAATATTAATTATGGATACTGATGCATGCTTAAAGTCTGAAGTCCAGAAATAATTGATGGTAGCCATTTAGCACAGATATCAATTCTGACTTGAAAAAGTGCTTTATCTCCTACCCACAGCCCATAGTGTCCACATACAGGTAAATAGTCGGAGCAGTAAGCGCTCCGCTTAAATGACACAGTGGCTTGTCATTTCCTCAAAGGTGTTAAAACAGTTTTGTGCCTCAGTGGCATTAAAAGTGTTTGGAATTCACGTTAAGCTGGTTCTCCTTGATTTATGGCCCCAGCCTGACTGGCTGCAGAGCCGGGGGGTCTGGGCCCGTGGCTGCGGCTGCTCCGCACCCTCCGTTCCTGCCCAGGAGAGCTGGACCTGCTGCTGCCGTGTACCAGGACACTTTTGCCAGCACGTTGAAGAGCCAGCCAGCTTTTTGACGCCCTGCTGCCTTTACCTCCCAAATTTGGGACCGTTCTTTTCCTCTAGCACAGGTCAGAGGCTGTCACCCAGCCAGCCAGCTTGTGGCTGTGTTAGAGGATCTCTCGGAGAGGCACCCAGTCTTGGAGAAATCGCGTTGTGTTGTTTTTCCTGTGACTTGTGTTGATTCACAAAGGCATCCGACATGTGCTCTACATGGCTGAAAGTGAGGTTGGTTTAAATAATAAGCAATTGTATAAATAACAAATAAAGATTTGTACTATAGAGTCCATGGGTCCCAACGGACATGCTGCTGTTGTGTTGTGGAGCAGAGGGGAATGAAGCCAGAATTTGTGTTTGTTGAAAATAGGTAGTAGAGTATTATTAGATCATCCCCCACGTCTGACTTGTCAGAAATACTCTGAAACTAACTGCTGCTTTAGAGGCACCATTGTTCAGCTGCAAGAAAGTGGGTCGACTGTTGACGAGATTACCGATCCCATACAATTATTGTAAAAGACATGTGAAAACAGGCTTTGAGCTTAGCTTGAGTTAGGGCCAACTGAGCATCAGAGCGGCTTTCACCAGCTGCGTGCACAGCATGTGTACATGTGTAGCTGTCTGGATGGGTGCGGAGGACATCAGTTCAGAGCTTCAAAATGTGCACTGTGGTTTTGAAGCCGTGGCTGTTACTGCGTGACTGTGGATCACTGTCACCACTCCTCCTGGCAGCCTGGAGTAAAACATGATGGCATCGTTAAACGTGAGAGTCGTGAGAAAGCTCTTTGGCAGGGATTTTGGGATGTATTCCTTTGGTTTGCAATATTTGTCTTTTTAAGCAGAATTTTCCCAGTGTTTGGTCTCTCCCGTGCCTGTCAGCAAGGCAGCAGTGCAGGGGCTTTCCTTGAAAGTCTGAGTGACATTTACACCCAGTGTTTGTTTTAGTGTTACATCTGAGAAAGCAAGCCCAGGGGAACCATGCGTTTCCTTCCTCTCTGGTATTCCACAGAGAATGACATTCAAGGTGTTCGGGCTTGGACTGGCAGAGGATGATGACGATGGCACCTTCATAAACTGAGTTTACTACAGCTTAGTCTGTGCAGGTCAGGACTAATGGTGGGAAGAGTTGATAAAAGTAGACCTCTCGTCCTCTTCTAGTGCTGTGGGTGTCTGTCTCCTGGGTAGCTCATTTATTTTCTTAGCTACCTGTCAGAGATAAGTGAGGCTGTGTGCGTGTGCCTGTGCCTGTTTCACACTTTTTCACCTCTCGGTAATTTGGAATCCTTCTGTTTGGGACGTGTTTGTTACTGATAGTTAAAAAGGGAGTATTCAGATCACTTTGAACTTGTTAAAAATATGCAGTTTAATTCAGTGATGCTAATGTCTGGGCTGTGTTTATTACTTCCCAGCTGCTGTGCTTCTCTGTATTGTATCTGAGACATAAAAAGTCCATTTACTGATGGCCCTACTGCCGCACCCTCCCCGCTCACAGCCAGGCTCTCATTCCAGAAGGGTGGTTGCCCAGAGTGATATATGTGCATGTGCAGACTCTAATACTGCTAATGCAAGCTTTGAAGGGAGCTTTTACAAGAAAACAGGCTTGGAAATAGCGTCTCATTCCATAAACAGTGTGTTCATTTGGGATTTAATGCATCTTGGGATAAATATTCCTCAGGAGGACTTGGGTGCATCCAGGAGTCTCCTTGTGCCTCTAGCATTGTCCTCCAGGAGAAATGGGGATCCTTGACCAGGGCTTAAAACACAGTTACTGAACCCTGAAAAAAACCCCAACATTTAACTGTTTACTTGCCTCTTGCCTATGAGCAGGAATTCGTTAAAGTATTAGCAGATCACTCAGAGGCTGAGCACTGTCTGCGGTGCAGTGCAGCCAAATCCAGCAGCCCATGGAGTTAATGAGTCGTGCACCTGCTGCTAAGCGCTTGCAGTTCTTTGAGATTAGCTGAGTATTTCATCCCAAAGTACATGCCATTAAAGACTTTTAATTCTTGGGTATTATATTTCATAAGACTTACATTAACTGCTAGGAAATGAAAGTCTCTGTGACAGCAGTATGAATTTACTTGGTTTAGTAATTTAGCACCTCCAGTGCTGTCCCAGTCCTCTGGTGACTTCTCAGAGCAGGCAGTGGCTGCTTCCAGAAAAGGGGGGGAATAAAACACAGGGAATAATACTTTTTTAGACGTTGTTATAGGCTATGCCAAATGGAAGGAAGGATATCAACGTGGAGGAGGCCAGTGGAAGGGGACAGCCACATTGTAAGGTTTTCTCCCTGTCAGTCATCCTAAGGAGTGTATGAGAAGTGCTGGTTAAAAACCCACAACCTGAAATACTGGTTTTCATCTTTCTTTTTCAATCACTCTTACGATGTGAATTGCACAGGCAAAAGCGAGCTTCTTGCCTGCCAACTCACTTGAAGAGTTTCTCGTGTTGATTTGCCGCATTTGCTCTTTTTCATGAATGAGAAGAAGAAATCTAATGAAAAGTGTTATCAGCTTGTCAAGTTAATTAGTGTCTATTTTAATACTATCATTATAATTCGTTACTGATTAATATAACATAAGTAACATGATTACAGCTTTTTTGTCTTATTTTTCAGTGAGAAGCTGGATGGAGAAGCTGAAAGATAAGGTAGGAGACTCCGTGTTTCAATTACTTTAAAAGCAAAACCATTTTTACTTGCAGCAATAAATAAACTCTTGTCAGTGCAGTTCTTTATCTCTATAAATACAATTGAGAAAGGGCTTAAAATTTTCTCTGGGAGGCAAATGAACCAGATGCTGCTGTTGTATACAGCGGTATAAATCCACAGTACATCCCCAATGAGTAGTAACTAAGAGCAGAAGATGGGACAGGGGTATTTGGTAGATTTTTCTACACTAGAAAATGACCTTCTCTTCAGGCTACCCAAGTTACTTTTTTGATTGCCCTCTATTACCCCTTTTCTCTAAATCCTAAGCTTGGTTCTGGATGCAAATCAAGAGGATCTGGTGATCCTCGCTGGTGAGAGGCTGTGTGCTCTGCCATCACCTCTGAGCAAGAGCTTTCTTGCCTCCACATGCAAGATTTGCTGCAAATTCCTGGAAGGAAAAAGAGCAAACACAGAAAGACTGGAAAGCTAACAGACCCTGATCTTTTCTCCCTGGCATTACAGGGTGGTGGTACGTGGAATCAAGAGTTATGCCAGCCATAAATAGTGATGGCTTTTTAAGTTTTGATTCCCTAGAGAAAATACTAACATTTTGAAATGGTTATGAAGCCTTCCAGATGTTGTGTTGATGACAGGAAAGGCATGAAGCTAGAAATCAGGTGACAGTAGTGTTTTAAGATGAAAACATTTTGTGACTGAAAAGGGCTTGGAAGTTCTTGAACAGGATCAGAGTCAATAGACAAAAAAAAAGAGCACAAAGAGTAATGATTCAATAGGAAACTCCAGCCCCTGAAAATACATCCCTGAGCTTAAGCAGATTGTCACCCAGTAAACCCATCCTTCACACCTGATCCCCACCAGATTTCAGCAGCACCTTACCAACAAGTCTGAACAGAGAGAAGGGGTCTGGGTATCGCTTTTCCAGGACTGGGGAGTGGAAGGGTTTAAGGTGGGTTCCTGCCCAGCCCTTGTTGAGTTGCTTTTCTGCCTACAATAGGAAGGAGGCATGCCTAGTACGATCTATGCTCATAGCAGAGCACCTTGGCCTGGGATTCAGCCAGATCGAATGCTGAAAGGACAGAGAATGGTTTTCCCGATGAAGGTAAAAAGCAGACACCAAGACTGGTTGAGTGCCTGGAGTGAATGGAGCATGCGTGGGTCACCTGCTCATGCCAGACCTGCCCCAGCCAGCACAACACAACCTCAGGGGCATCAGGTGTCTTCCCAATGAAGTCGTAGCTTTCACTTCTTTCCTCTTGGCACCTTGTTGGCTACCTCTGTCCTTCCCCGTTGCAGAGAGGGGGTGCGTGTTCCAGTCTCCAACAGAGTTGCTCTGTAGAGTCTGAACCTTGCGAAGGTGGATGTTGGACTGCATGGCAGTGCCCAGCACAAGCCTTGGTACAACTGCAGATCTGCTAGTGTCCACCTAAAAGGGACTCAGCCGTGAGCCATCTCCCTTCTTTGGGGAACGGCAGACGTGTGGAGGCAGATCTTTCACCTTGCTCATGTTTTCCCTTAAGAAAAGCCCAACAAAAAACTCTTCCCCACCCCCAACCAGGTGCTGGTGTAGTAAATCACTTGCAAATAAACCTGCTCACCCCACTTTCTCCACTTCCTTGTTGAGTTTATCAGCACCAGTCACTTGTGCCCCTCTCATTTGCCGTTGGTGGAGCCCTGTCCTCTGTTTTACAGTCCCTCCACCCAGAAGAATATCCCTGAGAGATGTGTTCTCCTGTGTCCGTCAGGGCTGCTGGGAGAGGGAAGGGTGTGGGGATCGTGGGACCAGGAGCACAGGTCAGCGACAGATTTATGTCTGCTCTCCTGCAAACACTTGTGCAAATGTTGCATTTGATATGCTGAATAATGAGGTTCCTCTGAAGTCCTCTGTTGCTGTTATCTCAAAGTTCAGCAGAGCCAGAAAGGTTGTGGTCATGGACTGGGTACGCTAAAAGCATCCCTAGGATCTGTAAAGAATCTGCATCTTCCCCCTGGGCAGGGGGTAAAAACTTCAGAGCTGCCTGGGAGATGGGGTTTTCTATCAAGCAAGTGCAGAAGCCCTCACGAGTTGGGCTGCATGACACAGAAGGGCTGGGAGAACAGGTCCTGGAACTGCTTTACATTGCAGGCTTTTGGGGTAGAAATCGTTGCTCTGGCTGTTGGGGAAAGCATGTAAAAGGGCATGGGCTGGCCAGGCGTGGTAAAGGCTCACGGACGGGCCAGGGATTTCATCATGTTAGTGATTTCTGATACAGAAACTCAACTGGGAGGCAGCTAAAATGCCATTTCCAGTCCCTCCTCACTGCCTGTGCCAGCAGCAAAGTTCCAGAAATAGAAAAACCCACGCTGCACTAATCAGGTCACGCAATTAAGGCACCTTAATTGCCTCACAGAGATACAGCCTTTTAGCTGTGTTCTCACCTCCTTTTTTGGGAACTGGGGTGCAGGCACGCAGCCCCCCTCCAAGCGCGTGTGCCGGGCAGGGCTGGGTTTTCTGGGAGGGCGTTCAGGGAGCCTGCACAAGGCAGCTGAAGATCCCTCAAGCCTTGGGATCCAGGCTCAAATTAACTACTATTTAAAGCACTGAGCAGGATCTGGAGGGGTTTGGGAGAGCAAACCAGCCCTTGTTAGCATTGTGTCTGCCCTAAATGAAAGCAGTTATTTTCATCCTCCAGGTAAGCACACAAAGCCAAGGTGGCATGCACTGAATAGCTTTTTCCCACCCCCCCCAGTCAGCGGATTATAGAAGAAAAGCAATTACGGTGTAAGCATGTGTTAAGCTGTGTTGCAGTTTGGGAATGCAGATGAAGATGAGTGGTTTTAAGCAGTGAACTGAGGCTTGCTAAGAGCTGTCTGATAGTCCTCTGAATTGTGCATGTGTCCCTTGGCAGGTGTAAAATCTATTTTGGGGGGTGTACATGGCAAAGGGTAAAGCTGTAGTGCCACAGCAGAGGACTTCGTTGCCGCAGTGTGAACAAAGGCAACTCTAATGAGGGAGGGAGCCAGGCAGTACCTGCCACCCTTACACCATTGAGTCTGAATTCGGTGAGGATGCTGAAGCAGTCTGGCACTTCCAAACTTAGGTTAATTTTCATTTAAAACAGTAAAATATAATTAAACAAGCACTTGGGAATAGTTTCCAGAGGATTTAAAATGTTTAAATGTGTAATTTTAAATTAGTCATGCTGTCTACGTTTTTTAAAATGGGCACTGCAAACATATGGATCACAGCAATTGAATTAGAGCTGATTTATGTTTGCTGTGCTTCCCTTAAGGCCAGCGGAAGGTGTGTGTGCCCTCCGTCTACGTCATTGTCCTGCTCATGAAAGTGACCCCTTTCCATGCAAAGCGAAAGCGTTTGGTCCAAAGATTTTGATTACAAAGCCGAGGAGGCTCAGGCTGTGCTGGGCAGGGCGAGGGCAAACTGCTGCTGCTTCTTGCAAGAAGTGAGCACAGCACAGCCTGGCTTTGCACTTCAGCTCCTTCAGAGACCCAGCTGCGGGTGTTGGGAGCAGCTTTTGCCGTCTCCGTGCCGAGATATGACAGTAGTGTCTCAGGACACTTTGCTCTCACATGCCAATGTGTCTCTGGGAAGCGTGGGAGCTGTGTAATACCCTTTACAGGAGGTATATTTAGCAGTTTGGCCACAGTAAGACACACTCCAGCAATCAGAGCTGGGCAGGAGGACACTGAGCCCCTTTCCCATCCACCTCCCACAGCGGAGGTCGGCGTCCCCGCTTCGCAGCGCAGCCTGGCTCCGAAAACAGCTCCTTGCCCATTTTGCCCACTCACTGGCTGGTGCCTTGCTGTCTTTCTCCTGGTGGCACCTACACGCTGGCTCTTCTGCCTGCACCGTGCTCTCTGCCCGCTCCTGCCGCCCCGAGGGCTGCGGCATGGGGGGCTGTGGGCAGCGGGGTGCCGGGGCACTCGTCACTGCCACGCTGCTCGTCTGGATTCGTGTCAAAAAGCAGCTCGCAGCGCTCTGGGCTGAGCTCTGTGGAACGTGGCCAGGCTTATACCTGTGCCTTGATTTATGCTGGCGGTACCTGGGGAGCTCGGAGCAGCACTCAGCCTGCTTTACACAGCAGGTAGTGAGGCTGTTTGGGTGGTCACAGGTCTTTGCTGTGGCTCGAGATTGCCCGCCCTTGGTGGTCAAGGTTTTCCTTCGTGGGTGCACCCGTATTAACAGACACTTCACCCCCAGCACTTGCAACTGCACCAAAATTGTTTCTTCTCCTAAAGGTGGGCAAACACTGCAATGTCTTGGCTATTACAAGGAAATATCATTTAGCAAAAGCTGACAGTGAATGAGCTGTGGTGGTTACCAGCTTGGTCCTGGAGCGGGGCTGGTTGGGGACTTGCTTAGCAGTACTGGAAGCAGGGCAGATCCTATGCAGGCAGGTGATAGGGTCTCAAATACAATAAACTTTGACAAAAGCAGCTTAAGGATATATTGCAGTCCTCGAGTGGTGAGAAACAACTCTGAAAGCATGGTCTTCTGAGTGCTGCTTTGCTTCTCTCTTTCCCGTGTAGGCAGGGTACATGTCGGGGATGCTGGTTCCCGTAGGAGTTGGAATAGCTGGAGCCCTCTTTATCCTAGGAGCACTCTACAGCATTAAGATTATGAATCGCCGAAGGAGAAATGGCTCAAAAAGACATAAAAGAAAGGTATGACAACTGCAAAGGAAACCCCCAATCCCACCCACTCTCCTTTTAACCATTTTGACTGTAGAGTAAGTGAATCCTGCTTATGGTTCGTGTAAGTTGAAGTGCCTGGGACCTCTTGGTTAGAGTATGGGGGGGATCCGAATGCCCTTCGTCTCCTCTTTGCACGTGGAGCTATTTCATGTTTCTTTTCTTCCCTTAGCAGAGGGAATTTAACAGCATGCAAGACCGAGTCATGCTCTTAGCTGACAGCTCTGAAGATGAATTTTGAATCGAACTGCAGTGCCCTTGTGATAGCCCGTGACTTTGAAAAGGAGGGAGTGGGAGAAAAAAAGAACAAGCGACCTTCTGCTGCATCGCTGCTCTCCGCCGCCCCGAGCCACCGAGCAGTGGTCGGTACCACCCCGGAGAAATGGCATGCTATGCTCTACGTGTACCGCGCAGTGATGTTTGTTTTGATACAGTAGTGAGATTTCACATTCGCACCCGGCGCCTCATTCAGATCCACAGCGCGTCTCGTTACAGCTGGAGCTGATCCATATGGATGATTATTTTCCTATTACCCTGGTGTACTGTTTTGGTCCTGGCTGGCAGTAATCTAATCATAACAATAGCTCTCACCTAACCCGGGAATGGAAATCTTTACTGTGAATACTGTGAATGACTTCTGTCCAATTAATTTTAAATGTTACATTACCTGAGCTAGAGTTCATTAGTGCTAAGATTAGCTGCTCTGCTTAATTAATGAGTTATACACTTGAACTATATCCCTTGCCACCTGAGAAGTGCCCATGTACAGTGGTGTTGATACAGTTTGAAGCACATTTCTTCACTCGGTTCCCCAACTCTGACCCCTTCTTTCTTCCTTCAGCTCTGCTCCATGCTTCTTGGAGACGCAAAGGAATGGCCTCAACACTCGATTCACAACAAAAATCCTAGTGCATTTTCAACCAGCACTGTCTGTCACAGCACAATAAATACCAGCGCTCACCTACTGCCGGATAGTCTTGCATGGATCTTTAGCTTTTGTTCAGTGTGCAAGTAGGTAAGAGAAGAGGCAGGTCAGGGGTTTCTTCAGCTTCTGCCTCCTGTTTGAAGGACAACTAGTTATGGGTTCATCTCTTTCACAAGGCTGCATTCACACAGAGGTGAAAACAGAGCATCTGTCTCCTTTACCCACTGGAAATTGCATTTTCAGCCCCTGAAAGCTGCATGAGTGGCAGCACCTTTGGGGGAATCTGGATGGGTCTTGTCTCCAGACCACGGAATGCAGGAAGGCACCAAAGGTTGTGGAGCGAGTGACTGTCAGTGTCAAGGGATTTGTAGCTAATAGTCAGAGCGCAGCAGCAGCCACAGCTGGAGAGATGTCTGCTCTGGGCCGGTGAAACGGTCACACTGGGGACCCTTGGCTGGGGGGGAGAAGGTGAAGTTGTAGGACACATGGCTGTAGAGGGATGTGGAGGTGAAGCCCACGGGTGGGACGGGGTGAGGGCGAGCTGCCGTGCTGCCCGGGCTGCTGGCGCTGGGTTGCACAGGGAGACAGCCCATGACTGAGATGTTATGGAAACCAAGCAGGGGAAACTAATGTTGCTTTGCACAGAAATGCTGTTAAAATAGTTAGAAAAAGGGCTGCGTTACTTTATCTCTGCTTCAGGTTGTAAAATTACTTCAATCTGACATTTATGCAAAACATCCATGTTTCTGAGATGGGAATTACTGTTCTGTGGGGAGTCATCCTTCATACAAGGAACAGCGATGTTGCCAGAGGAGACCTGATTAGACAAATAAGGCCGGACTGTACATCTACAGAAATTAAATCCCACTGAGTCTTCAAAGAAGTGGAAGGGAGGAAAGTTTGAGGAGGGCTGCATGCAGGATTTCGTTCCTTGTCAAGGTAAAAAGGCCTGTCAGATTGTGAAGGGTAGGTGTCGATGATGGTAAGCAAATGTCTTTTGGGCATGTGAGTGGGTTTGCAGTAGAGAGGACATTTGGAAGACTCTCTTGAAGCTCAGTTCTCTCTTGAGAGGGTCAGGGCCTCCTCTGGACATTAAGTCATGAGATGTGATGTTCAGCAGCGCTCTTCAGAGCCCAGGTACTTTCCTGTAGGCCTCACCCACACGTCTGCTGAGTGACCCAGAGAAGGACAGGTGGAACAGCCGGGTTTCAAAATGCTGCTACTAATGCTAGTCTTCCAGTTGAAGAGCGGCGCCTGGTCCCTCATACATTCACCCTGCTGAGTGCGTGGGAAGCAGGTTGGAGGAGACACAGTAAACCCCAGTTCATCAACATAATGGGGAGTCTTCATACCCTAATCCCTCTAGGATAGGCTTTTCCAGCCAGGGCTCCACAGTGCTTGCATCTCTCCCTTTTCATCCCTCAAACTCCGACCAGGACAATTTTGCCTTGGTAGAAGCAGCCCCGTGTGTTTAACAGGCACTGACTGGCAGCTCACTGTTAAGTCCAAGTGCCGCTACCCAAAATTAAAGCCTCCTTCTTCCATAATAAGTGGTCAGTCCAAGCTAAGAAGTTTTCCTTCCAGATTGATCTCTCCCTATTTCCTTCTCACTCCTGAAGTCTCTTGCAGCTTGGAGGTGGTTGGGAGGTGTTAGCAGTCCAGTTGAGCGTTGCTGGCTGTCTTGCAGTTTGGGAATAAGGAGGTGTTGTCCCTTGGTCTCTTTGATGAGTTGTTCCTGGCGAGGTGTGATGAGGGGTTGCAAGGTGGAATGGCTTCTCCTCCATTCCAGTTTGCTGGAGATCATCACCAGAAAGGCTTGTCTTTTGGGTGCAGCGACAAGCAGGCTGGAAACAACACTATGTAGGCAGCTGCGGGTTCTTAAAATGCTTTACCCTGGTCCAGCCAGGGAGGCATGGAGAATAATCAGTGACAAAGGGCATTGACCTCTCTGCAAGAGGGAGTCTGTCTTGGAGCAGAAGGGATGGTAACTGGGCCGGCTGAGTCCTTTCCATGCAGCTGTAACCTGAAAGAGAGATGTGAAATAACACTGGAAAAGAGTAGCTGCCAGCAATACTGCAGAACAGAGCAGATGTATCAGCAAGACCCAAGCAGCTGGAGATCAGCAGGGTTTTGTGCAATAACAGCCTGTGAAGGACAGTCTCCTCTGGCTTCCCTGCTAATGGTACCGTGCCTGCGCAGTGTGTGATAACGGCACAAGTTGCATTAAGTAACGAGCAAAATGCAGCACTCCTGGGCCAGTCAGGGGGAGGAGGGGTAGCTGAGGAGGCTGCTGGTCTGAGTGCAAGCACCCCAGCTCTGGCAGCACAGCAAGAGCTTTATGGATGAGTTGTCGATTTGATGGATTGGGAAGGCTGGTGGGGAGGTGCCGTGGCCTTTCATTTTGCTAATAAATCCACAGTTTGGGAAACACTGACTTTCTACAGTGGCAATCAGCTTCACTGTCTCCTTGTCCTTCCCCAACATAATGAACTTAAGAAATTAAAGGCAATGCTGCCAGTCAGAATGATGAAGGTGGTGTTTTAGTGCATCGGCTGGGTGCTCTCGTGTCCTCAAGAGCCTGGCTTCGCTCAGCGAGGACAGGGAGTGGGTGGCTGGGATGCTGGAAATCAGTGGTGCCACAAGTGAGGCTGACTAACGGTTGCAAGTATCAGTGTAGCTCTGCGGCAAGTGTGGTGGGGCAAGCTGGGCAAGCAGGAGAGTTGCAGCCAAAAGGGAGGTCCAGCTGAATGCACAGTTCGGTGGTGGCTCTCTGGTCTGTGCTGGAGCCAGCCTTGTGGGATAGAAGAGCTGCCCAAAGATTTTGCTTGTGGTCCAGCTTCACTCCCGGGTCTGTCTGAACACCACCAGCCAAGGTGCCTTGGTTGGGAGCTGCTGGTTGGCAGGAGACGACTGCTGGGCAACTTTCAGAGCCACTCAGCAGTGCAGAGAGATCCCAACCGACATCCATTTGGAGAGGAGGTGTTTGTTGAATAGTTTTGGCTACGCACCTGCCTCAGAGCCTGGAGGCTCCCCATGTCTTCAGCTTAGTTCGTCTTAGTGTGGAGGCAAGACCCAAGTCAAAACCAGCGCTGGGTCCCAGTGAAGCTTGTAGGAGCACAGACAGGGTTTTCTGCAGTGCCCCTGGTGTCAGTGCAATTTCTGCAGGTCCTTAAAGCACAAGCATCATTCAGCTCCTTCCCTTCTCATCCAAGGCTAGTAGACTTTGGATTGAGCTCTTACAAATACTCTCTGTACAACTCCTGGAGTTTGATTGATTTGTTTGAAATTATCAGCTTGCAGGCAGGGAGGGGAGGAGGGTTTCAGCTGGGAGCTGAATTCTCCAGTCTCTTAATGCTTTACTGATTTAACCTATACCTCTGCATTGTCAAACAAGCAGATTCTTTTGAAAGAGGCAGGACAAGAAGAAGAGCCAAGAAGGGCCCTTCTCATCCTTCATGCTGGGTGAACTGCAAGCTCCTGAACGTAGAGGTGGGTCGTGACACTGCTAAGACAGCCTTGGCCCTGTGCAAAGGCATGGCTGCGACAGCAACTTTGCTGCAGCAATAATAATCTCTCGACTCAGCACAAGACGAGTCATCCACCTCTGTTTTGGGTTTCCCCGATAGCACAAGCCAGAATTTATTGTAGGCGTCACACAACCTCTTTGCCATCTACAGCCCCATTTCCAGTGGGAGGAACCAGCCTGCCTGATGTGCAGCTCTTGCCCTGGTGAAATGCACCTGCACTATACAACTGCTGATTTTTTAAGGTGTCTCCTGTGCCAGATGTTCACCCTAGGTGAGGTTTCCCTGGACTGCACTGCTTCCATAGCGTGATATTAGCAGTCCTCGTGCTTTCTTGTGGTTTTCTATTTCAGACAAGAACAACTCCTCATACTGTAACTATGGAATGTAGCACTTTGTTAAATTAAAACGTTGGGAAATAAAAAGCTGTCCATCATATCTGACTTTAAGTGCCTCGTCTCCCTGATCTGTGGGTCATGGCATTCACTGTCTCTCGGGTGAAGCTGTGAGGTGATGGCCTGGAAGACTCAAGAATTGCATTTCTTTCTCCATGCTGCATGGTTGGTGCAAAGACTCAGGCTGGGCGGCTTGCAGGGCTGATACAAGCAGCTGGGAGCCTCAGCCCGGGACTTTTTGGGTAGGATTCACCTGGAGGTAGGTGTCAGCCATAGGCTGTGATGAGTAACACCCCAGATTCCCTCAGCTGGGTTTCCACTAGCTGTAATAAACCCCAACACCGACATGTTTACACTGTTGATCTTTACGTACAGCCAGGTGTTTCTTTGTGCATACCAGGATGTTTGTCCTTTCTGGTTTGATCTGAAAGCAAGAGTCTGTGCACAGATCTTTCAAGGCCCCAGTAATAGGGCACTGGTGAGCCCTGAGTCTCAGTTGCAGGTGCTGCAAATGTTTCATAAAATTGCAGCCTTGCTGCAGGTGAACGTTATCACAGACACCTCAATGGACCTGCGATCCAAGCAGAAGAATCAGACTCGAGAGTGAGCACGGGGCGTATGGGCTGGGTTTGTAATTGCCTTCCCGGGCCTGTTTGCAGATGTCCTTGCAGGCATTGCATTACTGGATGCAAGCACTGGATGGGTGTGCATCCTTTTGCTCCACTGTGTATAGGTGGAGGTCCTGGTACAGGTGTGTGAGCTGGGGGGGGACACAGCAGGCCTGTGGCAGTGGCTGCTGGCCCCTCCCCAGGCTTCTTCTAGTCAGAAAAGCCAGAACTGTTTGTCTAAGTGTGTGTGGTTTCTCTAATGAAAAAATGGCTCGTTCAAAACAAGAAATTCCCAAGGAAATAGCCGTTCAGGGATTGCATGAACACATTCTTTGCTAATTGTTAGTTGCCAAAACCAATCTGTATATTCATGAAGCTGCTTGCTGCATTGCTGACTTTTTCCAATGAAAAAAACAAAACCTGCTGGAAGAAGATAAACAATGACAGTGGGTTTTTTCCACAGGTTTAAGGAAATGACTGTGATCACATTGCCTTGCTGTGAGTCTCTGCCCATCAGCCAGTCTCCTCCTGATGCTCCTGACACTGCCAGCCAAGCCATGGGTTTGCGAAAACAGGGGAGAGGAGAGAGATCCTTTTAAAACCCCCACAAGAAAAGGATGTGTGGAGCCATTCTGAGGCTACAGAAAACCTGTATAAGCAAAGGTTACATGTGCCTTGATGGAGGGGATGGGCTGGATATCTCAGACACCTGTTGGGGTTGCTGCCCTGTGTGGGTTCCCTGGGGCTGAGCAAAGCACGAGGTCACTCTGGCACAGGGCTTGGTCTGATTTAATTTCAAGCAGGTGATCAGCCGTGAGGCACTGATCCATGCAGGGCCACGCAGACAGCCTGGCTTGGGGTTGTTTCCCTCAGTGTATTTTGGAAGGACAAACCTGCTTGCTCTGGTGGTGAAGCCACCCACGGGTGGTCGTTGCTGCTGTGCCTGAGTCTACCAAGTTCTGTGCTTGGGTTGAGGGCCTGAGACCAGGCACAAAAATCGCCTTTACTCTGGGGCAAGTCTCATCCTCCACCTGTGCAACCCCCAGTGCATACGGGGGTTGTAAGTGCTTTAAGGTTGGACCTCAGTGGGCAAAAATTTAGTGCACAAGGACATTGACTCACAGCTTATTCAAGGCTTGCAGCGATGCCCACCATGGGTTTCCCCTTTGTTTTTCCTCAATGGTGATGCTCTCCCGGGGGCTCAGGAGCAGGACAGCCCCTGCCTGCAAGGAAAGGGTTTGGGTCTGAGCCAGCAGCTGGGAGTCAGTAGAAATGATGGCAGCATTTCCCAGTGGAAACGTTTTCACCAGTGAATCCCTTCTTAATGGTAACTGCTGGGCACCCTGTGCTCCACTGTACTGATGACCAAATGCCTGTATGTAAGCACACTACATGATTAGCATGCATATATGCTAAGATATATGCACACATAGAAGCTTAACCAGTGGTTTATATATATACACACAGAACCACATGGTATTTGCAACGCAAATTTTCCACCTGCCAAGCACAGTGTTTTTTTCTGATTTCCTCTAAATGTCTTCAACTCCTGTCTTTTCTCAGTCTGATTTCCCGCAGATTTACCCCATGTCTAACACAAGGCTTATTGCCTGCAGGAATCTGCTGAAGGAGATGCAAGAGGGATCCAAACCAGGGCCTGAGGCCAGGCACAAAAATCGCTGAACTCTGCAATTGGAGGTGAATAGAAGGTGCTGGGGAGGGAAAGGGGGGGCTGTGACTGCAGCCCTGGCTCTTGACAGGGCTCTGGGGACAAAGCCTCTCAAGCAGAACCCAAAGGTAGGCTGTTAAACATTGGCAATCTCTTCCTGGAGTGATGGAAACGTGCCACACTCTCTTTCTGTCCAGCAGAAGGTTTCTTAGTATCCGGACGGTGGGGAAAATCTGCCCCAGGCCCTTTGTAGGAATAGGTGGAGTTAGAGTTTCAGTGTCCCTGCTTTTGCCACCAGTGCAGTAAGAGGCGCCCACAAACCCTCTTGGCAGATTAGCCGTGACAGCTAAGTGGTACCTGCCTGGTTGGAACTAAGATGGTCTTTAAGGTCCCTCCCAACCCAAACCATTCTGTGACTCTACGAGTTGGTGGACCCAGGTGCTGCCTTCAACTGACACCTGCAACTTCATTCTTGGACTGAAAGGTCGCATTCAGCAGAGCCTTGATGTCCAGGCAGGAATATTCATGGACAGGTCCATAGCTTGTGTTGGCAAGAGCATTTTAGCCAAATCCATGCTCAGATGAAATGCCTCTGACACTAAAAGGCTGCCAGAGACATAAGCAACCGCTGGCACTGCCCAGCTGCTGATGCAGCTTCAACACAGGAATCTGTGGAGGGACATGGATGGAGTTGAGCAGCAGCTTCTGAGCATCCCTTTTCAAAAATGTCCTCAGAAAGGTCCTGGGTCTTGCACATTGTACAAAAAGAGAAACGTTAATCTCTGTGTTGAGATCAGCAGTCAGGACTGGAGGCTTACTGCCCTTCCTGGAGGTTTCCAGGGACTCCTGGCAAAGTATTTATTCCAGTATGATGGATAATGAAGGCACTGGAGGGAAAGCAATAAATGTTTTGCTCCAAATTCAGTGCTCAGGGGCCAAATCTGACTCCTGGGGAAGGATGCCAGGTCCAGCCTGGTGTGACAAGCTCCGTTGCATGGGGGTTTCCAGCTCTTGCTCACAGCATCCCTGTCGTGAAGCCCATGGGTTTGGCTGGAAATAAAATCTCCAGCGGTGGGTGGGAAAGGGACCTGTGCGGTGCCTGGCACCCGGTGGGGTGTGAGCAAGCATCACCTGGACAAGCAGAAGTTCACTCAAGTAAAACGACTTTTTCCAAATATTACGTACAAAATGACTCGAAGGCTAAACTGCAGTCACTGAGACTCTCCACTAATGAATTCATTTCATCTGTAGCAGAGGAAATGGAACTGGGCAGTGGGAAAAAGGCTGATGTTAACAGAGTTCACTGCACTTCAGTTTTAATCTTTTTTTTTTCTTTAATGGAGAACAAAATGGTAATGTGATAAAAAAGAGAAAAGAAAATTCCTGCAAAAATGTGACCTTATTCATACAAAAGGCTATTCAGAAATAAATCAAGAATTTCTGCAGTACAATTAAAACATCTGCTATTACACAAGCAAAGTCTAGATAATGAAATAATTTGTCAGCATCAGGCTGTAATTTGACCTGGGATTTTTCAGTCAAATTTTTAAATCACTGAGTTTAATCATACTTTATATTAAGAAGCTAAAAATACTTACTTTAAATAATTGATTGACTAGCTATTTTTTCATTTTTAGCTGTTTTCCCAAGGTTAATTCTTGCTGGTCAATACGTCCTTTAAAACTTATTGATTTGCCTTTGGAGACTGTCTGCCCACAGAGTTGTGTTTTTCTCTTGGCATAACTTACTCTGCATTTATATGCACTTATTTAAGCAATTTCAGGGCTTCTGATATATTTTTTTTTTCAGGTTACTTACATTTTGCATTTTTATTATTAAAAAATAGCGAATAACATCCTTCCAATTCACTGGCTGATTGGTTTTGCGTTACACTCCAGTCTGGTTAAATCTCGCTTGGATACAGACTGAAATTCAACGGAAATACCCAGAAATTGGATTTCTGTTGTAAGAGCAGAAGTGGAGCCACTGCGGGTGGGAGCTGTGCTGCTGTGCAAACATTTGGGACCAGTTTGCGGGTGACAAGCCCTTGCCTGCGGGCACCAGGGGCTGCTGGTGGGTTTGTGGTTTGTGAGACTAAATAACACACCAGGAACCTCCGTCCCTGCGCCCTGGGGGAGATCAGGGCTGTCACCACGTTAGCACGGTTGGGCAGGAAGAGCTAACTGGAGAGAAGATGGATATCATATTCGAGGCACAACCTTGGCCAAGGAGACCTACATAAAAAATACCCTGGTCTTGGTTTTCAAATGAAAAGGAGGGAGGTAGTAAAATGCATCGCTGAATCAGGGCTGGAATGAGAGAAAGCTGTGCCGTGTGTTAGTGCTGGGTACGTGACAGTCATTTATGGGGAGGAGGGTGGCAGGTCTCCGGCTCCTCTGGGCCATGCCTGTAGGTGGATCGCATCAAAAACGGCGGCGGAAGAGGTTTGTCAGGGCGTTTTGTTCTTGCTGTAAGTGACAGACAGTTTCCAAAACTCCTATCACTTCCAGGATCCGGCCGTTAGGCAGGAGGTGGCTGCCCCGGGGCTGGAGGAGGGGGATGCTGCGCACCCCTTCCTCAGAGACCTGCCCCGGCTGCGGTCGGGCTCTGCCTCCGCTCACCAGCCCGGGGCCAAAGTTAGCAGCTGGGTCTGCTCACCCCCATCTCACCCGGCCTTCACTGCTGCCAGAGGAGCCGTCTGGCCGTGCCGTTGTGGAAGACACTCCTCTTCAGACGAGACAAGAGAAGCTTTGCCGGCGGGTTTCTCCTCG